TTTTTAAATCTTCTAACATTGAGCTATAAAATCTTATCTTCTCTATATCCAATGCTGAACTCTTTAACCCTGCCTTAGGGGGAGGCAGTCTATGTGCACAAATGAAAAAAGTTTGCTTTACTTAACTGCTTGATCTAATAATAGTGATTTGGGTTTGTCTTTCTCTTCCCATCTTTGGGAATAACAACTACTCAATCTCTTATTCTCTGCCATGTTGTTTCTGGTGCTGGAAAGGAGTCTCTGAAGAAACTCAGAAGCCACATGGAAGAACTAGGGTCTATTCTTATTCATTCCGAGGAAGTGGAGGATGTTGCTGGAAAGACACCTTAAATACATTCCCTGAGTGAGCTGGAAATGAAGTTTAGCAGACTGATGTTTTTGGTTTCTAACTTTCTAGGCCACTGTTATTCTTTTCCAGTCAGAACACTCAGGGATATTGCCTCCCAAATACACACAGGCTGTTTACCTCTTCAAATAGCATCAGGGAGTCCAGAAGTATTGCTGTCTAGATAAGGAGATAGTGAGCTGCTGTAGTTTTGGGGTTTAACATTTTCTGCAGTCCAAAGGCCACAGGGGGTCTATCATAGGCATATTCCCAGTGGGGTGCCGATAGTATCTGAAGATCCCAAGGAAATTAGGTCCGATTCCCCTCTAGCATCTGGTACAAAGTTGATTGAACTGAGTTGTGTGAAGTCTTTTTTTCAGTTCTGATTCAAGTGAGTTTCCTCAAATATTTCTTCATCAGGATATTATTTGTTATTGCAATCCTTAAATTTAAACCTTTTATTGTTAAGGATGTTCTATTCAATTTCCTACTAGCTGGAATGCTTGGAAAATCATGCAATCACTTTGAATTTTATTGAACAACTGACCTATACATTTTGAGATCATATGAACACAGACAGTGTTGAATTAACAGGGGAAGATAGCATGCTACTGAGTCCACACTGGCACATTTGTGTCTATGCAAAGACAAAAGCAAACAAGCCTACTAATGTAACAGCTGGGAAAGTTACATTTCAGAATGTAAATTCCATAAAGAAACTTCACTGTTATTGTATTTTATGAAGTAAATATTTTAGGGAGATAAATCTATCATCATGCCATATGTTCCAAACATCATTTGCTGTTTTTCAATGGGGATTCCTTGTCTATAAGTTTGGTAAATACTATGCAATCTACCCTATAACCTATATTATGATACTAAATATAAGAAGTTATGAATTTAAGAGGGAGGAAACATGGGAGAAGTTTGGGGTAAGGGAGGGTAAATGGCATAATTATATTTTAATTACATTAAAAATATTAAATAGTACCCGAAGTTAAATATATTTTAGATTCAGAACTGTGTAACACATTTAATATAAGGAATATGTTTATAAAGATTTATTTTTTATTTGTATTTATGTGTGTGGGACTGGATGCATTTATTTGCACCATATGTATGCAAGTGCTGGAAGAAGCAGGAGGACATCAGATCCCCTGGTCCTGGAATTATAGGCAGTGCTGAGCTGCATGATTGGGTACTGCAAACTGAATTCAGGTCCTCTGCAAGAGCAGTAAGCACTCTTAACTTCTGTGCCATCTCTCCAGTTCCCTCTACTGAAAATCTGAAAAGACTTTTTAAGAATGTATTAAAGATTGTTCCTTTAGAAGTCAGTACTACTGCACAATAAATTTCCATATTAAGGAAGAAAGAAAAGCAAGAAAATTAGAAGCATTCAAAAATGATACTGAATTTTAGAATAAATGACATCAGAAAGATGGAACCATTAAACAAACATGAAGAAATTATAACTCCCCACAGGGCAGGGAACCTGGTCTGCTCTTCGGGCTGATGAGAGAGGGGGAGTTGATTGGGGGAGGGGGAGGGATATGGGAGGCGGTGTCGGGGAAGAGACAGAAATCTTAAATAAATAAATAATAAATAAATAAATAAATAAATAAATAAATAGTCTTCTTAATTTAGTCAGAATTATTCTACAATTAGGATGTCTTGAGTACCTCATGTTATTTCCAGCAAGTCATCAGATATATTTACCTGAAGCCTGTAGATAAAGTGAAGATTTGAGAATTATGCACACGGAACTAATTGATGAACCTAATATAGAATGACAGTGGAAAAATGTTAACAAGACAGTCATTTGCTTAAATTATTATAGGGCACAACTGCAGAGAAATAAATGGAAATCAAACAAAGTAAATGAGTCAACTAGAACAAGGGCAGGAACAACACTAAAAATCAGACAGTATTAAGAACACAGAGCAAAGAATTACACGGTCCTCAAGAATAGTAGAGTATGTTCAAGACTGGATGAAGATGGGGGAAAGTGTTTTTATTGTTTTCTTAAGAGGATTCCATTTCCTTTCATTTTGGAAAGCTGTGCTTTCTTCTTAGGCATATTTGGCTTGAGCTTTGAAGTGTAGCCTTTTCTAAGGGCCTTTGCTACGTTGTGGGTTGTAAGCTAACTCCGGGAAATCATTGTACGGATACCTGATCCACCACCTCAACTCAACTGTGTAAAATAGGGAGGTGGAGGAGATGTTCATTTACAGATGGACGCTCTCCAGTTCACCACCACAGGGGAGTTATGTAGCATCTTGATAACACATGCAGCTAGCTCCAGAATCTAATTTGAATTGGTGAGTTGAGCAGTAATGATCTCTTCTAGCTCAGAGAGCATGAAAAGCATTAGCTTATCAGCATCCATAGGATGTATCAGAGCTTTCCAATTGAGAGGAGAAATCATAGATGACTCCCAGATGCAGAAAATGCTTTATAGATAACTGTTGGCCAGGGCTGTCTGGTAAACAGTTGGATAATTGAAACTGAGCTCAGTACTGCCGAATAAACTTTCCCTTCTCATTAGTGACACATCTCATGCCTTTTCTGGTGCTATTCACAAGGATCTTTCTGACTTCACTGCAACTTATTCAGATCAGAGAAATATGGTGGTGAGCATCAACAAAGCCAGCCAATGGAAGTTGTGTAAGATAAGCTGAGTCAAATGAACCACTGGGGCCAACTTCGTGAGAACAGCACCCAAATTCAAACATCAGCAGCAGACGAAATAATGCATTGTCAAAAGCCTCCCGGTTCTCTGGGTCTAGGTGATTTATCTCCTGAGAAGCCTTTATAAATGGACCATATTTTCCCTGTACAATGAAGAAAAATGAAGGGAACTCTTATGCTCAACTGTGCCTTTAGAAGGGGGGAAATGATGGAGAGGCTTACTTAGAGGGGAAGATTAAAAGTGCTTAGGGACAAATACAGGGGGAAGTAATGATAGCCTGTGAATATTTGAAAGAAATAAAAACATATGCTAGTAAAATTACAGTATTTAGAAAAGCATAGCAGGGGCAACTAGTAGCAATGGGATAAAAATAATGGAAACAGTAAGATGATACTCAGCAACATCCTGCCAGCAGCATTTGATGACAGACTCATCTCCTGAGAAAAGTGACAGAATCACTGTCACCTTGGAAGATTGAAAATGTCATGGAAAAATACATAAATTTAGTAGCAGAGAGCAACTTTGCAGTGCCAAAGACATGGAGTCATTTTTCCTACCATGAAATGTGATTCGTAGAAACCAAGAATGGTTCAATGGCTGTGCTTGGTCACCTTAATCTGCTTCTGTTCATCATCTACAAAGCTTCATGAGTATGTATCCTCAGATAAGCAGTTGGCTGCCACATGCTCTTGTCTACGTTAATATTTTTCTTTTATTGATACTAAATATCCAACTTGACATTTGGATCATATGCTTCTGAATATATCATGAATCCCAAGATACATTCTAGTGGGTATGAGGGTTGTTAATTCCTGTGCAATGTGGTTGTGGTTGACAAGAACTACTTTAGACACCAACTGTGGATATATGCACACAAGATTTTCATCTGGTTCCAGCTTATGCAAAGCCCAGTAACCTATGAAAGCATAAGCCCGACTATACTAGACAACTAATGAAATTCTATTTCTTCCAGAAGTTTTTGCAGTACCATGAGAAAATATGAAGATATGTTGATGTTTTGGATTACACTCTGATTAATATGTGTGAATATTTTGTCAATGTGTTGAAAGTGTTGTGTTGGAGCCCCTAAAAATGGAGTCATAGATGTTTGTGAGCAACAATGTGGATACTGAGAACAGAACCTAAGTTCTCATGCATGAGCATTCAGTACTCTGAATTGCTGATCCTTCTCTTTGATTCCATGCTTGTTTTGTTTAATTAATTCATTATATTTGTATAGTGGATTAATTCTCTCATTGTAGGATTAAGAGATGTAAGAAATGATCGTGGAGCAAAGTTGCAAGTCACCCAAAATTCAACTCTGCTTTCTAAAAATAACTTTAAAAGCTACTAGATAATTGGGATTCAAAATATCTGTGCATATGAAAAATTGTCTATACATCTAGATGCATTAATAAAATACCACAGAATTTCTGTTAAAATGCAGTCACTGTATACATGTTAATTAACACATTTGGAAGCTCAGTTTTACAAAAATTTAAGAAGAATTAAAACTGTCTCAGAAAAATAAAAAGAACTGAATATCAAGGAACAATTTTCCATAGAAGTGATCATCTTTGTCAATGATTCCTCTAAATTATAATTCATAATTATCTGGAAATCATGAAGAAATTGGTGTCGCTATTATTTTAAGTTTCATTGTAAGTCTATCTTTTAACTGCTATCTAAAAGTGTAAAAAGTTCAGACTTCTGTTTTTTTTAATATAATTTTTTATTGAAAGAAAAAAAAATTCCGCCTCTTCCCCGCCTCCCATTGCCCTCGCCACCTCCCTTTTCCCTCCCCCTCCTCCCTCTGCTCTCCCCCTCCCCCCACTCCTCTCCCCCTCCCTCTCCAATCTGAAGGGCAGTCAGGGTTCCCTGCCCTGTGGAAAGACCAAAGTCCTCCCCACTCCATCCTGGTCTAGGAAGGTGAACATCCAAACTGGCTAGGCTCCCACAAAGCCAGAACATGAAGTAGGATCAAAACCCAGTGGCATTGTCCTTGGCTTCTCAGCAGCCCTCATTGTCCGCCATATTCAGAAAGTCCGGTTTTATCCCATGGTTTTTCAGTCGCAGTCCAGCTGGCCTTGGTGAGCTCACAATAGATCAGCCCCACTGTCTCCGTGGGTGGGTGCACCCCTCATGGTCCTGACTTCTTTGCTCATATTTTCCCTCCTTCTGCTCCTCCTTGGGACATTGGGAGCTCAGTCCGGTGCTCCAGTGTGGGTCTCTGTCTCTATCTCCATCCATCTCCAGATGAAGGTTCTATGGTGATATGCAAGATATTAATCAGTATGGCTATAGGATAGGGTCATTTCAGGTTCTCTGTCCTCAGCTGCCCCAGGAACTAGCTGGGGACATCGCCCTGGGCACCTGGGAGCACCAAATCTCTTGCCAACCCTAAGATGGCTCCCTTAATTAAGATGTGTTCTTCCCTGCTCCCCTATCCAACCTTCCTTTATCCCAAACATCCCATTTCCCAAGTTCCCCCCAACCTCCCCTTCTCAC